GAATACGTGACTTTCCTCAGGGGCTCTGCATCTCTATTGACTCTTTGCAGGGCATGATATATGATTCGAGTCTTGCATTAGCAACTAAGATCGGAATGAAATAAAAATCTTGCAATTGCTGTGGTCACAACTCCAGGTGAAACCAGGGGTACTCGGTGATGAAACTGATGTATTCTACACAATCTATTGACCATTCAATACATTCTGATACTGTGGAAAGACACAAATGTGTCAGCCTATGCTGATAGCATAACTCATGTATGACAGGAAGACTGTGGAACCATAGCTATGTTTGCTATTGCAACCTGAGGTTCACTGAAAGTTCTATTTGTCATTCCATGGCAGATCTAAGTTTTTATGAAAAATGTTATGGCAGCATGTGTAGGGGACTGGAGTGATGAAGTACACAGCCTTCAATGAACTACTTTTACAAAAGCAGTTTCTTCTGCGGTATATGTTTCAGAAAAACTGGATTGTTTTCCTTCTCTCTGGATTCTGTAACCAAAACAACCACCATATGCAAATTTAGCCTCCTAAATTCACCTTACATTTCACTCTATTCATCTCTGACACTTACATTAGGTCACTATTGCTCCTCACCAGGATTACTGCAACAGTTTTTACAAAATTTTTTATGTGTATGCATGTATTGCCTGCATGTAAGTAAGTGCACCCGTGTCATGTAATGCCCGAGGAGGACAGAAGAGGCTGTTGGATCCCCTGGAACTGGAGTTACAGACAGTTGTCAGCTGCCATGTGGGTGTTGGGATTTGAACCCAGGTCTTCTGCAAGAAGCTTAGTTTTTCACTACTTAAAATATTTTTTTTATTTTATGTATATGTTCTTAACCGCTGAGCCATCTCTCTAGCCCCTACTGCAAGTTTTTTATTTTTGTCTTTGTCACCTTCCCTGCTCAAGACATTCAGTGTTGCAAGCTAGAATGATTTAGGAGTAATCTCTAGGGAGCTAAAAGACAGTCACTTAAAACATTTTCTATGTAATACTTACCATGTATTAGGCAATTGCTTGAGGACACAAAGATGTATGAAATGTTTTTGCTAAATATCAACTCTTTTTTTCCAGATGGTGTGGACTTCTTCCAGTTTATAGAGTACACATTTCTTTTGCCTACAGACTTTGACATTTGTTGTTTTTGACTGAAATACTTCCTCTTTACCTTAGTTTCCTATTCATCTATCAGTCTGGTCTTAGTTTAGAAATAATTCTTCTGGGGCTGGAGAGATGGCTCAGAGGTTAAGAGCACTGACTGCTTTTAACAGAGGACCTAGGTTCAACTCCCAGCACCCACATGGCAGCTAACAACTGCCCATAACTCCAGTTCCAGGGGACTCTGACACCCTCTTCTGATCTCCTTGGGCATTGCATGACATGGGTGCACTTACATACATGCAGGCAATACATACATACACATAAAATATATTTTTAAAAAGAATTCTTCTAGGTGAACTTTCCAGCCCCTTCAATCTGGAATGCTTCACTTTTGAGGGGGGGGGAGGGGAGACATCTTTTGAATCCCAGAATGGCCTGAAACTCACTATGTAGCCAAGAATGACCTTGAACTTCTAATCTACCTGCTTCTACCTCCAGCAGCAGACTTGGATTAAAGGCATGTGCCACCACATCCTGGGTCTTTTAATGATTTTTTAAAATTATTTAAATTTTTTTTATTTGTACAAATATTTTAATTGCTGATATGTTTATTGTTATGTGTGTAGTGCCCTTGAAGACCTGAAGAGGATGATAGAGCCAGAGTCACCACGTAGGTACTGGTAGTCAAACCTGAGTCCTTTGAAAGAATAGTAAGTGCTTTTAACACCCAAGCTGTCTCTCCAGGCCCATTTTAATGATTCTTAATCACAGACATTTAGAGCTTTTTTCCCCAATGATTTGGAAGGGAACTTAGGGCATTACATCCTTAGTTCCCTTATTTTTCCTATAGGAGATGGTGTCTCCCTTTATTGCTCAGGATGGCTTTGAACTTCTGGGCTTAAGCAATTATCCTACCTCAGCCTCTCAAGCACCTTGAACTATAGAAATGTGCTACTATACATGGCTCATTGTTGCTTTATTTATTCACTACTTAAAATATTTTTTATTTTATGTATATGAGGGTATTATGAAAGTGCACCCATGTCATGCAATGCCCACAGAGATCAGAAGAGGGGGTTGGATTCCCCTAGAACTGGAGTTAAGGAGCGTTGTTAGCTGCCATGTGGGTGCTGGGACTTGAACCTGGGCCCTCTGCAAGAACAGTCAGTGTTTTTAACTGCTGAGCCATTTCTCCAGCCTGTTTTTCATTGTTCAATTTTTAATTTTAATTTGTACTTCTCAGGTGACTACTGATATTATCATTTATGCACATTTGCATACCTCATTTTGAGAACATTTATTTAAAAACCCTTTGCCCATTTAAAAAATTGAGTTGTCTTTTCATGGTTGAATTTCAAGAGTTCTTTAAATATACCAGACACAAATCTTTTGCTAGCTATATGAGTTATAAATATTTCTCTCATTTTGTGGATTTGACATTTCAGTTTCTTGTTAGTGTTCTGTGACACACAAAAGTTTTTAGTCTTGCTGAAGTCCAGTTAATCTTTTTTTGACTGTTGGCTGGTTTTGGTGGCATAGTTAAGAAGCCATTACACAGTCCAGGGTCCTGAAGACATATGTGTTTTAGTTCTTACATTTAGGTCCTATGACGTTATTAAAATAGAGATAAGAAGTCATTGCCACCATTCTTTTGCTTATGGATATTCACAGAACTTTTTCTGTGTTGAATTTTTTTTTTTTTTTTTTTTTTTTTTTTTTTTTTTTATTTTTTTTGTTTTTTTTTTTTTTTTTTTTTTTTTTTTTTTTGGTCTTTTTGACACAGGGTCTTTCCAGTAGCTCCAGCTGGCCTGGAAGTCTTTATGTACGTCAGGCTGGCCTTGAACTCACAGAGATCCGATTGCCTCTGCCTCCCAAGTGCTGGGACTAAAGGTGTGCACCACCATGCCTGGCTTGAATTGTTTTTGTTTGCAATTATGCTGCAAATTTTACAAGGACGAAGATCAAGGTAGTCTCATTACATCTTTTTATCAGGAATGAATGGGTTGGAAGACTGAAATATTGTTTCTTTTCTTTGTTTGAAATTATATCAGCTCTTCCAAGATGTTTTTTCATGTGCTAGAAGTTAACATTTCTTGACAGTAACAATTCATCACAGGATGATGAAGTTCTAAGAAAAGTTTTGTGGCAAATCTTGTCTGGAATCAGATCCTAAGTTTCATTTAAGAAACTTCTGTCAACTATAGTACTCTCATTCTTTCCTTCTTTAATCTCAATCATTCTTTCAAACTCACTATGAAAACCAGGCTAGCCTCAAACTTGCAGTGATCCTCCTGCCTCTACCTCTCAAGTGTTGGGATTACAGGTATGAGCCACCATGAACAGCCTTAAATTCTTATCCTTTAACTGGGGATTGGTCTGAGATTAAGGAGATGAATAATCTGTAACCATAACCCTTTATACAATGTAAGCACTCATCCTCCTGACATCTTCCAATTGTTGGGATTATAGGCCTGCAACACACATGGGATGGATACTGTCTCTGGAGAAGAAAGGCATACACAAAAACATACCTTTAATCCCAGGATGCAGAGGAAGGAGGACCTCATCAAATAGTAGCAGTTACTTTTAATGCAAAAGAGTAGCAGCAAAATTGAGAAACTAAACTGAGAACTGTCAGACTACTGATTTAAAAAGATTTATTTTTATTTATGTGTATGAGTGTTTTACCTGCATGTATGTAAGTATACCACATATGTGCAATGCCCACAAAGGCCAGAAGAGGGTGCTGGATCCCCTCTAACTGGAGTTACTGACTGCTGTTAGTCACCAATGTGGGTGCTAGTAACTGAACCCAGATCCTCTGCAAGAGTAGCAGTCAATGCTCTTAACTGTTGAGCCACCTTTCCAATCCCTGTTTTTTGTATTTTTTGAGACAGGTCTCATGTAGTCCAGGACAGCCTCACACTTCATATGTAGCTGGTCCTGAATCTTTCCTGATCATCCTGCTGCCATGGTGCAACTGCTGGGATTATAGGCCTGCAACACACAATGGGATGGATAATGTCTTTGGGGAAGAAAGGCATACACAAAAACATATCTTTAATCCTAGCACTCAGGATGCAGAGGCAGGTGGATCTCTGGGAGATCGAGGCCAGCATGGTCTACATGGTGAGTTCAGAACAGCTGGGGCTATAGGGAGACTCTGTCTCAAAACAAATAAACAACAAAAGGCCAAAACCCAAAACAATTAAAAATGACCCTAGAGATACACGCATAAGCCCTCTTAACAGAATGATTGCTTTCGCCTATTAAGATGTTAGTAGGGCGTGGTGTCCCATGCCTTTAATCCCAGCACTTGGGAGGCAGAGGCAGGCGGATCTCTGTGAGTTCAAGGCCAGCCTGGTCTACATAGTGAGTTCCAGGCCAGCTGGGGCTACAGGGAAACCCTGTCTCACAAGACCAAAAAAAAAAAAAAAAAAAAAAAAAAAAAAAAATGTTAGTAGAAAAAGAAAGGCTCAACAATTCGGGCATTTTGGATTTATTCAGGCTTGTAAATAGGTTGTTGGTCTCTTCCATTAGTCAGAGCAGGAATCATGCCTTAAAGTCTCCTTTGGCTCTGCAGTACACTACAAAGAACGGACCCTATAGGTTGATAAATTGATGATGGTCCTTGAATGCCCCCAGGGGCCCGGAAGGATTCTCTGGCGAGAGGAAAGGAAATAGGAACACGGAGAAAAAAATCTTGCATCAATTGCCAGGGAGAGAAAAGTAGCTCAGGCACGTGACACAAACCGGTCTTAAAGCCGAGATGTAAAAGACCTAACAACTTACCAGGTATCTGTTCCCTGCCCCCTCCTCCTAGACCGACAGGGTCACTTCCGGAAGGAGGCAGTAGACAAGAGGAGGCGTGCTGGGAAGGAGGCAGTTTATCGTGCACCAGACGGAAGTGTGCCAAAGTATCCGGGCTGCCGCTTCCGGTCTGGATAGACGCTGCTCCCGTACTCTGCGTCGTTTGTGTCATGAGGCGATAGGCCTCCGAGAGCAAGGCGAGGGGTGAAGCACCAAGAACCCGCCTAGGGACTCCAGAGTCAGGCCTTCAGCGGAAAGATCGGACCAAAAGGGACCAGGAACCCGAATACGACCTACCCTCTGTTTCCGAGGGGGCAGCTTCGACGAAGAACTCCGCCCCCCTTCCTTGGTAACGGCCAGAAAGGAGGAGATGGCGCCAGCCAGGGAGCGGCCCCGGCCGAGACAGTAGGGGAGCGCGAAGGCGGAGCGAGCGGGAAGCCCCGGGAGAAGCGGAGCGGTCGCCGTCACCACTGCCGCCACTACCATGGAAGGAGCCAAGCCAACCTTGCAGCTCGTGTACCAGGCAGTGCAGGCGCTTTACCACGACCCAGATCCCAGCGGGAAGGAGCGCGCTTCGTTTTGGCTTGGGGAGCTGCAGCGTTCGGTAAGGGGCCCGGAGAGGGAACGGGGCCCGGGCCCAGTGGGACGGAAGCTTGAGCGGAGAGCCGGAGCTGGGCAGTTGGCTTCGGGAGACCCTCCTTTGGAAGCTGCTGCCGTGGGGTGGGGCTGGGAAGCCGTTTGGATGCCGCTTTTAGGAAATAAGTTTCAGCAGATCAGTCTCGAACTGGCCCTTTCCCCACCCCGTAGAAACCTATTTGTAATCTTCCTATGCTTCTGGCTTGAGGCATGGATCCAACCCGCCTTTAAATTCCATCCTCTTGTTGCCTATCAGGCCATGCTTTTCTCTTATCTTCCTTTAACCAAAGCCAGCCCCAAGTGCTTCTCCGCCTTCCACTTAAGGATGCTTTATTGGTCCCCCTTCAGCGTCTAAGTGTTGCATCTTGCAGTTCCTTCCTGTTGGTAGCCTTACACCTCTATGCCTTACTGATTTTTCACACTTGAGGCCATTATTCTCGAAACTTCTCAGGTTTCTAAATTCGGATTCGTGTGAATTTCCCTCAGCTTTGGAGTGCAGCATACTATAAAGAAGAAAGTATCAGTTAGGGTTTCAAAACAATCTTTGAGTTCTTTTGTTTTACAGTGGCCTCCTAATCTTATTTCCCTGACCTTTAGGTTTTTATGAGTAGCATAGCAGCTTTAATTATTTCATATAGCTGTGTGAACGTCTGGTGGAATCTTGGTGTTGTACCTGTTGTATTTCCTCTTGCGTACATTTTTCGGTTCGTGGATTTCAGCATTTTTTTTTTTTTTGCCATATTTTGTTTTCTCCTTTTATTTCACACTGACCTTTGCTGTACTTTTTTTCTGAGTTTGTATACATGGTGATCTTGCTGAATAAAGGGTTTAGTCTATGAGCTTTGAAGTTCTTTGTTTTCCCTTTTCTTTCTTTGCAGTGCTGGGGATCCAATCCAACCTACAACTCACTATGTAGACCAGGATGCCCTCAATTTCACAGAGATCTGCTTGCCTCAGCTTCCTGAGTGCTGGGATTAAAGATGTGGGCTGCCACACCTGGCTTCCACAAGCATATTTTTGTTTGCATGGATCTTCCCTTTTGTAAGCTTATTTTAACTCATAACTGATTTTTAAAGGTGATTTACTTATTAAATAAGCCCCTGGGTTGCAAGTACATAATGTTTTAAAATTGCAACTTTGACTTTGATTACTATGTGTAAATTTGAGACCCAAGTCCTTGTGGGAAGAGGAAAGGAGTTACAGCTTCATTGTAGGCTGTCCACATCTGGTCTCATTTGTATAGCTCTCGGATCTTCATACAGTTTTCTAAAATATAAATAACTCACAAAAGTCAGCTCTTCCTTGTTAAAACCTACTAATTATTATGTATTTCAATATTGAATGCTTACCATGAATATACAACTTCTGGGTGTTGGTAATTGAAACAAAACAAAAATCTGTGCTGACCACATAGTATACTTGTGATGATTAAATGTGTTAGTTATCTACCAAGAACTGAAAGTTCTTCTGCATAGAGCTTAAAGATGTTAGCAGTTACTTAAATGTTATTCACCTTTCTCTCCTTTCCATTATTCTGTTACAACCTTACTATCATCAGAGGGTCTTAATAGGAAGACATGACACACTTGACAGAATAATTTGCAGAGATAATTTTTCTTTTTCTTTTTTCTCAGTACAGGTACTGGGGATTAAATCTGGGACCTCACACATGCTAGCAGAGTTATTTATCACTGAACTATCTCCCCAGCCTTCATTTTACCTTTTGTTGTGATACAGGAGCTGGTTAGATTTCCCTAAGCTGGCCTTGGACTCACTCTGTAGCCAAGTCTGGCTTTGAACTTTCTGTCCTGCCTCAGCCTCCTGAGTAGTAAGACTTTATAAGTCTTGTCTGCCTCACCCACACCTGGCAGAGTTTGTTTTAAAATATTGTTTATAAAGTTGTGGATATAATGGTACTAGGAGAAATAATGTTAATAACCCATAGGTAAACTATTACGTCTTTAGGCTGGAAGAGATAAGAGAGGGGAGTAGTTACTTGATTGCCTAGAAGGGGAATGATTGAGTTCCTGGTGAAAGGACACAGCTAGCTTGAGGTATTAGAGAAATGAATTTCCTGACTTTATTCTCCTAATTTTCTTCTAGATTCCCTATTGACCAAATCAACCAGAAGCCAGGAGACATGGCAACCTGTTGATAAGTCTGTACAAGACAGCTTACTGGAGCAGAAAGAATAGTAGAAAAGGATGGGAAAATATTCAGCACAATTACACTCATTTGGGCAACTTCACCTTTTTAATTAATTAGTTATTGGGACTGGAGAGATGGCTCAGCCGTTAAGAACACTGACTGCTCTTTCAGAGGACCTGGGTTTGGTTCCCACATAGCGGCTAACAACCATCTATAACTCTAGTTCCAGGGTATCTGACGTCCTCTTCTGACCTCCATGGGCATTGCACGACATGAGTGCACATACATATGCAGGCAATACAGTCATACACATAAAATTAAAAAATAAGTTTTAATTGTGCATATGTGTATGTGTGTGGGAGCACTTGTGGATGTCAGAGGACAACTTGTAGAAGTTTGATTTCTCTCCTTCCATAGTTTCTGGGGATTGAACTCAGACTTGGCAACAAGTGCCCTTACCTACTGAGCCATCTCATTGACCCAGCTTGAGCACTTAAATGAACAGTGCAGTCAACACTTGGATCTTTTGCTTCCTTTACTTACTTATTTTCTTTAAGTCACACAGTTGCACCCTCTATCTTGTTACTATTAGAAACACCAACCTGCCAAACCACTTACTCAGACATTCTTCTCTGATCACAGTCCATGTTTCTAGTTCCCTGTCTTAAGAATTTCAAGTAATCCTGTTAGTTTTTATTATTTTGGAATCTTATGTAATAAGATTTATTACATTAATTTATGTAATAAAATTTTAAGATTTATTTATTTATTTATTTATTTATTTATTTATTTATTTATTTATTTATATATTATGTGTGTGTTGTAGTCCCAGCTGACCTGGTACAGAGACCCACCTGCCTCTACCTCCCAAGTGCTGGGATTAAAGGCATGTACCACCATGCCCAGCATTGTTTTATTTTTAAAGCCTAAACATTTTGTGCATGGTGATCAATATATATTTTTAACATTTGTTTCCTATGTTTCTAGTAATTCGTCTCCAGAACTTCTGTCCATAGTGTAAAATGCCCACGTTGCACATTCATATTGGTAATCTATTTTCCTTGTTGGCTGAAGGAAGCATGTAACCTTAAGATCCATCAACCCAAAACATAGCTCTCACCTGAAAGGCAGTAAGAGATCATTTTTTCTTGAGCCAAGTATGAATGATCATGGTCCATGAATATGAGTTCAGGTTGCCCTGAAAGACATATTCTACTACAGAAATGGTTACATGAGATTACATAAAATTTTATTAGTTATAGAACAAAGAAAGTATTGACTAGAGATAATGGCTCAGTGGTTAAAGAGTATTTGCTGCTCTTCTAGAATACCAGAACTTGATTCCCAGCACTCCTGTCTTTCATCTCAAACTACCTGTAACTCCAGCTTCAGGCCATCAGACCCTCCTCTTGTCCTCTGAGGGTACCTGCATGTATGTGTGTGTACTTATACACACACACAGATACACACACAGGAACAAAGAAAGCCATAAATAAGGCATTTACCAAATGGTGGGATATCATTTGAGCAAGTTATAGGAAAGAGTAAGGAAATTTTGTTTTGGGTTTTAGGTGCTTACTATCTGATGACATTTTTAGCTTTTGGATTGGTGGAAGCTAGAAGTCTGCTAAGAATACATCTTAAAGGGATGGGCATGGTAGGGTATGCCTTGAAATCCCACCAGTCAGGAGGCAGAGGCAGGGAGATCTGTGAGTTCAAGGCCAGCCTGGTCTACATAGAGAGTTCTAGGTCAGCCATAGGCTATATGGTGAGACCGTCTCAAAAAGCAAACAAAATACACCTCAAAGGTTTTACCTGATAGTCAAAAGTACGTTCAGTGAGACATATGGGTAGGCAATGAATGGCTATTTAAGGGGGGATAAAATTAGCCTAAGATAATGCCAGGCATGAAGGTGCATGCCTTCAATCCCAGCCTTTGGGAGGCAGAGGAGGTAGATCTCTGTGAATTCTAGGCCAGCCTGATGTACATATTTCCAGGCCAGTTGGGGCTCACAGAGACCCTGTCTCAAAAACAAAGTTGACATTCCAGTTTCCACAGTTAGAATGGAACCCATTTCTTTTCATTTTCCTTTGTAATGTCTCCCTTCTCTTCCCCAGTGTTTTCAATCTGATTTTAGTGGCCTTTTAGAAGGAACCTGAGAGCAAACAGATGTGTACAATAAGTTCAGTCATCATCTTTCACATTTTGCAAAACCATTGTCTTTATTCTCCTTCACCTTCACCCCGTTTAATCTTATTTATTTACTACCACTAACATTTGTTTTTTTCCCTTATTCTCTAATGGTTGTATACAACAGCCTGTTTTTGTTTTGAGACAGTGTCTCTTGTAGCTCAAGCCAGCCTTGAACCCCCTCTGCAATAGGTGATGGCCTTGAACTACTACTGATCCTTCTTCCTTTGCCTCCCAAGTACTAGGATTACAGATTAGTGCCACGATGCCCAGCTAAAACAGCTGTTTTTTGAAGAACGTTTAATCTTTACTCTGTAAACTTTTTCCACCAAAATTCATGGAAAGCTTCAATCATAGTTATGTTCCATGTGATAAGCAGATTTCACTGATAACTCCAAAGTGACTTTTCTAAAAGAAAATATGTTATTTTGAAGCAGATTTTAAAGGAATCTTATGTACCAGTAACTCACGTGTTCTGAGCACTTAGTAGTTTCCTTTGGCCATGCCTAGTGTGTATACAAAACCAGGAGACAATGTAGAAAGCTACAGGGAGCAAAGACCATCTCTTTCTAGGGCTAGTAATTGTGCTGCTTAGTTCTAAGCTGGTACTTCTACAGAGACAATCTGTG